GAGAACGAAATGCGTCGCGTGTTCATTCTCTCTACAGCATCTGTGACACTGGCCTCAAGCAAACTTCCAAAAACTCTCGCTAATCTGTTCCATTTAAAGCCCATTTTTTCATGCATCACGGCTATCGACATGACCACCGCCACGCATCCGCTCCTACGGGTCTGCGAAACCCGACTCATGTCACGACTCAGGCCAAGCCGACTCATGCTGCCTTCCGACGCAATTGTGCAGGATTCGGAAGAGGGCTCGAAAGTTAGCCTGACCTACACCCAACGAGCGATGGCTCCTTCTGTTCACACGTACCTTTTATTATGAACGGGCATGAGTTCGCCACAAATGCTTCGCTGGGCACAGGGATTTGCAACGCCGTCTGCCGCGAACACAGTCACACTGCTTGAGCTCTTGTGCATCGTCTCTGGATGTAGCGAGCTCCTCGTATCTCTACCAAGATTCTGCCCACACCCACCAGGCAAAAGATCGAACTTTCACTTACCAGCAGATTGCACCTGCTCCCCTACCGACCTATGTTGCTCCACGATCCCAAATAAGCCCGTCAATTGACGAGTCGCTTCAAGAGCGGCCATGCACGCTGCCGTCTCAGGTTAGCATCCTCCGAAGCTCCGAACGGCGGGGCATGCGGCTGCGGGAAAAGTCCCTGACCTGCATCTCAGCAAAGATGGAGGTTTATCGTACTCATTGAAGATAATGCTGGATGGAAGACTCTGACGCACAAGGTTTCGACGTTGCCACGTCTCAACGATGGTCTACAGTATTTCACATTGTGCAAGCCCTGCGTAGTACAGACAGCTTCCCGGCAAATGTACATCATCTAGTTTCTCCTACGATCCTGCAGCGATGCGTGTCCAACACAGTGTTGTTCAGAAACCGTCACTGCGCCCGCCCTCTAGCCATTCCATGCCTGTCCATAGTCCAGGCACGGTGCCACAAAGGACGACACAAGGGTGACAATTGCAGAGTTACACGGTACTCCTGCCCTCCGTTCCCTGATTCTCCATACCAGACCGAGCCTTCTTTGACTGCGACTCGCCAAAGCTGAGTTTCTGCGCCCGCGGCATCGCCTATTGGAACATTGTGTATTATCGTGGCGTTTGCGGCTTTCGATCGACTATGCAAGGCTCGGCCTACGCTGACCCTTCAGAGCACTTCTTAGGTTGCGATAACATCGCGACAGATTGGGCAGCCTTTCAAGGCGTCCTCGGACACAATGCACTCAACCATGCGACACCTGTTTCAGTAAGCTACCCAGTTATTCCTGAGATGCCCACAGTCGCCGGGCTGAGTGTATCACAGCGACGTAAAGTCGTTGTCGCGACTGCACTATCGCAGGCGGTCTGAATTGTCACCAGCTAGCTGCCCGAGTCAAGCGCCGTTAGCCCACTTCCACGTGGAGTCTGAGATGACGAGCTGATGTTTGGCCCTTAGCGCCCTCATCCACTGTGGCTTCAGGCTATTGTCAGAGTCCCTGTCGCGATGCTGCTCTTTTCAGTCTGCTGGTCCTGGCAGACGAAAGCCCCTTTCGATATTGCGAATTCTTGGCTTGCGTTCGGATGAGAGATATGCCGGGCTGTGCAGTGGGCCGGCACGCTCTTTCTTCTCTTATTTCCTTTTCGCCCCCATCGCAGTTTGGTGGCCCCTCTTCCGAATGATCGTTGCTGCAGCCACAGGAGAACCCAAATGAAGGAGTCTACCCAAGAAATAAAGGGGGTACAGCGATCTCCTGCAGGCCACAGCTCTGCTGTCGCAAGCGTTTCCCTCTTGTCGGTTCCGATCGCCCAGAACCAGGATCTAGAACCCGGCGGGCACAAGGAAACAGCCAAGTCTAGCGTGACACTCGGGGTAGACACAGCCTCTTCCGCGAACCTGCCACCCACCCTCCAGTAGATTATAGCGCCGGGACTGTGGCCTCCCGTGCCTTTTGGCCACGATGATCACGGTGCTTACGTTCTGTGGCAAGTTTGCAACCGCTGGGTTGAAGCGGGAGTTTGCATGATCTCAGACGCTCATACGGGCGTAACCCTGCCAGGCTATTTACAGGCCAGGCTATTTACAGTTGTGCTTGCGATACGCCAACGATACACCAATAGATCTGGTCTCTCTACAGCCTGGGTCATCTCCCAGCTAGTCTGGGCTCTCCTTTTGCCAGCCAAGCGCGATCAGCATTTCATCGTACCTTATCAAATAAGCTGAGTCGATAGTGCATTGCCCGGCTGCACCAGGGAGATTTCGGTGGATTTGGAGGTTGCCCAGGTTTTCGGACAGCTGTGCCATTTTGGGTAAAGCATCACGGCCGCTAAGAAAAAAAAACCATTAGAGTCAATCGAGGCGACGACACTTCCCTAAGTTAACCTCCACTCATCCCTTCGGGCGGCGACAGAGTCTGCATGGAGAATTGGCAATGAGGAATCCCATGCGAGTAATCTGTCGAAATGGTACACCTACTTCCAAATGGCGGTTTAAGTTCTCGATCGGACCCCGCCCTGCGTATTGCCACCGGGTATTCTGACGCGCGCACCTGTGCCTTCTCCTCATTGACCTGGAATCAGGGGGGTGCCGAACCAACAGCGAATGTTATGGGAATGAGGACGAACGACGAGTTCCCACCCTGTTCAAGCCACTGCGTTACTAGCAGCTATTCAACAATGATCTCTGATGCCGCCGCTTTGTGATGATGGGTGATATCCGACATGTTGCTCTCTCAAGAGGCCCCCTGAAGCTTGTGAGAATAGGCAGGCTAAAAGGGTGCTTGTGGCAACGTGGAAAAGACCAGCGGCCTGCTCAATAGGCTTTCGGCGACGCCCCCGAACGACGAATACACGCACGCCCTCGTGCGTCGCATCTGTCATGTCCAAATGCAGCCCTGAACGTCCCGGCCAGATGGGAATGTCTTGCACCGAACGACGCTGATTGGTTTCACTGGCGTTTTGATAGCCGAGCGCCGATGGGCCAACCTCTGTCGTGCTGCCCCAGCTGTTCGGCCTCGGCCGAGACGGTACAAGGTGCAGGGAAGCTATCTCGAGACTTCTATCATTAAGAGATATCGAGAGCCGGTTAAGAGGATCCAGTGTTACCGCTACAGAGCAGCGGAGATGGGGAAGGGGCGTCTGGCTTGGATGTACTACACACTTATCATTGATTTCCAGACCTCAAGCAAATACTCGTTATGAACCTGTCGGAAACATGTATTGGTACCTAACACTTGTACATAAAGAGTATCACTGGCTTTCTTTTTGATGATGGCCACAAGAACCTAACTCGCGTTGTGACTTCATCGCGTGCCACGGTCCAGAGGCACGCAATGGTGTGACCCGAACATGGCTGCAATTATACCTTCGCCCCAGCATGCTTGATGGCTGGCTGGGCCTACTAGTATGGAGCATGGCAAAATATGGTTTTGACATGGGGATGTGTCGGTTGCTATGTCGTCGCCCATTTCTCCAGTCCAGTCCTGGTCAACCGTCACGATGTAGCAGATGATTGAGGCCAAGGGGGCTTTTACTCAGCTCATCCGCAGCGTGCTACAGACGATGTCGTTGGGTGAAAGACATTACTTGCTCAAATTAGAAGCTGCTTAGGCATGGCATAGCTTTTCGACTTGTCGTTTCATTGGACCTTCGTCTCTTTCATCGGCGAGAGTAGGGAGTGAAGGGGGACAATCGCCATGCCCATGGGCAGTGAGGTTTCAAAGCGCGGCCTGCCCACGCATGCAGACTCCATCACCAATCCCGTCTGTTTCTGTCGGGATGGCTCCAGTACTGGTGCTCGATCATTGAATAGGCCAGATGAGGTGCAATGACATGATCTGGTGGTGGTTCACTCGCCAGCCCGGAATAACACCCTGGTACTTGAGAGTGAGCCGGTTTATTTTACCAAAATGTACTAATGTGCAATGTACCGCTCCAACCGTAGGAACAGGCCTTCCTTAGGAGTATAGAGCATTGCTACAGTGTTAGATTTTGACTCGTGACTGCTGGTACCGAACCATGCGTCTACTACAAGTGAAGGCACCTATCACATGCCATGTCTTCAGACCCAATTGCAGATTGAGATAAGCTATACGCAGTGAGTCAAGATACCAAGCAAATAAACGGCCGCCTTCTGGATCCGATAAAGACGAGGTTCTTATGGAGTTCATGTATAAAATGTTAACAGCCGCAATAACGGCGGGATACGAGAGTCGCCGATGGGGTCCATACAAGATCATATTGCAGGGGCAAAACTCATGAGGAGGCTACCATCATACAGTATACCTTATATCACGATCAATTTGAGATTATGTATTGGCCTTTTGAGGGCTATAAATGATAGATCACTAGAAGTCGATAGAATTGACGCAAACATGTTCGCGCAATTGTTCTCATCACCTATCAAGTCCCTACTGGAGCGACGGGGGGCATGCAGACGATATCCAGGCCGAGCAGGCGGGACGCGTTGATGCATTTATTTTTTATTGTACGTAAGGTAGCTTGGTTGGTTGATAAAAAGTATACCGATTCACTCCCTGAATCAGTTGATATGGTTTCGTCGTGGCACAACCAAATTTAATGCCCCCTCATATCTAGCCACAATAGCAGACCTCCAGGCTAATCAAGAGTTGGTACGAGTGCATAAATATTACCGAGAAATAAATTTACAAGAGGTTGTTAAAATCAATAAGGTTGGAACTCTTATCTGGTTCGTCGGATCTAATGATACTCGGTGCACGTTTTGTGCTTTGCCTGGAGGCTCTTCCCCAAGATCTTACTTACCTGGCAATAACAAGTTGATGAAGTGCATATGGTCTACTATTAATGAAAACCTCGGCCACGATATCATGACACCATCAGAGATTCCCTGATTCGAACCTGGTAGTCATCTGGTCAAAATCAAGATGCTTTGGCCCTAGAATCACGTCAATAATAAGTTCATCAGGAACCGATAGTCCATACCGGCCCGCTACATTCGCCTTGATTATTTTGGCTACACTGAGAAAATAAGGCCTGATGCCAGATTTATTAGTTCCCTCACGATTATTGCACCTCTGCAGCGAGCTGTATAGACAGAAAACCGAGGTTCGAGCCAGGAATGTTCTGTTGAAGTGCGACCCTCCGACGAGTCCACGAGCCCCACCTTCAGCTTATCTGATGAACTGGGCTTATCGCGGACCCACAGGAGCTCTTGCGGCGCCACCTCCGCGTTTTGTTCAAGTCAATGCAGGCGGCTTGGCATGCATTGGCTACCTAGTATGTAGGCATCGCGCCGTGATCGTTCTGGTACTGGCGCCCGCGCTTCACCACAACATCAACCGACACCAACCTCCGTCTCTGACGACGACCTTCCGTTCGAACGCTTCTCCTCGCCCTGAGGTAGACGCCACAAACTCCTTCACAGCAGACTCTAGGTAACATATGGGTATCGCATCTTGTGCATACTGTTTGGATTTAGCCCGAGAGCGGGTCACGACGCGTCAAGCAAGCCACCACCTCCGCTTCTGATCTCCCATCAGCACAAGCTGCCGACACGACAATCAATCGCCGAATAATAGTCAACAGACAACCGGGGTCCTTCCTCTTGAACCACTGCATTTCTCAAATCCCGCCCCGAACAACGCGTTCCCAACCACAGAGTCATTCCTGACGCGTCACTGTACCCGATTTCGCTTCGACTTCGACTGGAACCCTGAGGACTTATACATTCATGGCCACTGTCATATTCGCAATACTTTGAGAATTAGCGCCTCGGAAGGAGCATGATTCTAGACGGAAGTCAAAGCTCTTCCAGAACCTGGGCTCATTTGGTTTTGCAGCGCGTCCTGAAGGCAGGAACCAGGAGGAGGACAACGGGCTTTTGTGGGAGGGCAATGGGACGCGGGATCGCCCAGAATGCCTACTATCCAGGTGTCGCCAGATGCAGATGAGCTGCTACAGAGTGTCGCCAGTGGATTTTGAAGTCGAGAAAGATCATTGTTGTGACTGGCGCCGGCATCAGTACCAACTCTGGAATCCCCGTAAGGAGGCGCAATGGTTCAGAATATCTCGAGAGCACCGGCTAATCATTGCCCAGGACTTCCGATCCGAAAATGGCCTATACGCGCTCATCCAAGCGCAGTTCGACGCTGCGAATAAGGATCCCGCTTCCCCGACTGCCCTGACACGATCAAACTCTAGCACCTCTGTCGGTTTGACGGAGTCGCAGGAGGATGGCCCTCCAACGAAGAGACGCAAGCTTGAGAGAACCGACGATACTGTGCGGCAAGCTTCGCCTGGCGCTGTTTCCTCGCGAACGCAGGATGATCAAGTTAAATGCTTGAGGAATGGAGATTATATCAAAACCGAAAGCCTACATGCTGAGGAGCCTATGCCCAGTCAAATGACTGAACATCATGGGTGCGCGCGGCGAGATCAAAGGGAAGATGCAGATCAGACCACGGAGGACAACCCTAGGCACACTACTATCAGTGGTGCCGTATCTGATTTCATGTCCGAAACTCTGTGCTTTCCGACCACCAATCTGGGCATGATGGGGCCATCCCGAGCGAAGCGCCATGAACAGTCACGCCGTCGCAGCAGTTGGGGGCATTCCTCGATGTCAGCCAGCTTTTTGTTGACAGCAACATCGTCGAAACCAGACCAGCACCCGCGGACGGCGCATATGTCGCCTCATCACCCAGCCCTTCAGACGAGCAGCACGAGGGCAGCATCGCTCTCGCCTCCTTTGAAGCCGCACCACGATGCCAACTGTGGGCGCTCAGAAATATGGAATGCAGCACGGAGAAGAAGGGTATCCATGTCATCCTTGACGCGCCCGCTTGATGACGAAATTCTGCAATGGGCCTGGCATCTGCAAGATCAACCCGAGTGCCCGTCCAAGGAAAATCCGAGTAACGAGCAGCCCCAAGATTCATTACCCCAGTTGCCAAAACTTCCACCATCTATGCCTTCCTCCATGCTCCCGGTCTCGCGCTCAACACCAAAACAAATGCACCTACCCTTCACGTCTTCACCTTTGTCATCTCCACTAGCAAGTAGTCAAAGACCCAGGTCTTTCCTTGCCAGGAGGAAGGCCAGCGAGGTCCACACGCCTTCACGCTTGGTACAAATACCAATGGCACATGATTCTTCGCCTCTTTCGTCGCCCCCGCCAGTTCTTTTTGACCCATTCAATCAGGTGTCTTCGTCAACAAGCCAGCAAAGCTTGAGTGCAGCTGGTAGCACGACTTGCTCAGAGACTGACGAGACGCCGCCATCATCCCGTCCATCCTTGGTATCTCAAACCTCGAATCCCGTGCGATCTACTCTCCCTAACATCAAAGGGCGAGATCTTTTCGATGTTTCTATTTGGTCAGATCCATTGAGGACATCGGTGTTCTATACTTTTGCCACGACCCTCCGACAAAAAGCTCGCGATGTGCAGCCCACTGCATCGCACCTCTTCATTAGCCATCTCCGTGACCGCGGTAAACTCGTCCGGTGCTACACTCAGAATATCGATCAGATTGAAGAGAAGGTTGGACTTTCCACGTCCCTTCAGCAGGGTCCAGGAAGCCGCGGTCGATTCTCGCGTAAATCTGCAGGTGGTTTCTCAGCACCGAGCTCGCAAGGTGGAGAGGGTGAGGCGAACGAACATATCGTCAAACGAGACGCTGCCAATGGTGGAGTCGAGTGCGTATTCCTCCACGGATCTTTGCAGTCTCTTCGGTGCTTCCTCTGTGGGCGCATTTGTGAGTGGGATGAGGGCGGACGATCTGTCGAGACGCTATCCGGAAGACAACCCGAGTGCCCACACTGCGTCGGGGCCACAGTCGCCCGAGAGGAAAGGGGCAAAAGAGCTCTTGGCGTCGGCAAGCTCCGACCTGACATTGTTCTTTATGGCGAAGAGCACCCCAACGCGCATCTGATCGACCCCCTCGTCAAGCATGACCTCGCCCTTTATCCGGATTCCTTGCTGATCCTCGGCACGTCGCTCAAGGTACATGGACTAAAGGTTCTCGTCCGCGAGTTCGCAAAATCGGTACACAGCAAGGGAGGCAAGGTCATATTTGTCAATTTCACCAAGCCGTCGGAGAGCTCTTGGGGTGACATCATTGACTATTGGATCCAGTGGGACTGCGATGCCTGGGTATCGAATCTTCAAGAAAGAGTCCCTTTGTTGTGGCTGCCACCAGGAACCAAGCTTCCGGTGCCTGGCAAGAAGAAACGCGAGAGTACTGGTGAGACCAAGGCTGCAAAGAGGCGGTCTAGTGGCGATGTTGGCAAACCAGTAGACACGAGTGATTCAATCATGCCGGACATGAAAGACACGGACGAGGACCCTCATCATGATCCTCTTGGCCACCTGGAACAGACCTCCAAGACAGCTGCGCCGCGACGACCGCAAGTTATGCGAGAAGATAAGCACAATGCGGCATTCTTGACTTGGCAGATAGCAAGGAACCTTCGAAAGATCACTGGTGACGAGTCACCCTTGGTATCTTTCTCTTCATTACAAAGAGACGCGCGGCTAGCTCTCTTTAGCGGATCGACTCCCTCATCTCCGACACCACTGGTACCTGAGTGCTCTTTGAGAACGCCCCTGCCGGACACGGCAAGAACAGCGGCTTCGCACAGAACCTTGTTGCCGTCGTCAGCATCATGTTCTGTGTTGCCCTCGGCTACCATCCTGTCCCGAACGCCTCTGCCCACTGAACCTCTACCAACACCGGCGACAGCGAGGCGGGCATCGGATACTCATCAAGAAACGAAGGAGGAGCAACCACCAGAGCCTGAGTCGTCCGTGGCTACAAAGAAACGCAGAAGAGACTCACGCCGTACCCATAAGGCGCCGTCTTCGGGTGCTGAAGCGAATGTTTCTGCGAGAGCTTTAAAAAGATAGCAGGCGCCAGAAAGCAAGGCCCCGGTTGAATCTATGTCTCGAAAGAAGATGTTCAACCAGCTGAGCCTGTGGATGGAAACAACGGGCAAGGTCTGGGTTGTAGTTCTGACATTGAGTT